CTTTCCTCAGCCTTCTTTTCCTTCTCTCTTCTCTCTCTTAGAAGTGTGCCATTTAGGGGCTCTTTGGACTCCAGCCCTCACCTCTCTCTTAGGTTCCAGCAGCACATTTCTAGCTCTCTGCCAGACATGCCCCATCCCCACCAGCCTGTCCCCTCTTCTGCTCTTGTTTTGTCCTTCATCCTATTTTTCATGTTGCCTTTCCCCAAGCCATCTTCCTCAGTGTGCCTGCTGCCTGCTGCCTGCTTACACTTTACCATGAGAACATACAGGAAGTGACGAGGAGCAGAGTAGCCGAATTGAGAAGAGCCCTAAGCCTTGGGGCCTGGCCCTGTTCCTCCCCCGGGCTCACTGCACGGCCCTCTGGTGAGGAAGGCACTTCTCTGGGGCACTCTCTGCTTCATGTGTTCACCCAAGGATCGGCGGTTCCATAGGGTATCTGAATAGTCACATAGTTGCATTGGCTTCTGAAGTCCAAAGAGCCCCTTCCCAGAGCAAGTGTACGAGGGGATCTGGAGGGAGAAGGTCCTCTTGGTGGGGCACATGAGGAGCCCTTCCCACCCCCAGCTCCAATCCCAGAAGCCCAGGGGCAGGGAGTCTTTTGTGCTTTGGCTTGCCTGCAAGGTGTGTCAGCCTAGAATTTCATGCCAGAAACAGGGGCTAATGTTGAGGATGGAGGACAGCTCCCAAGTAACCAGTGATGTTGGTGAAGAGGCTCTAGTTTGAGAACTTAGAAGGCTTGCTGACAAGAGATAACATGAAGTGGCCAGAAGTCAACATCACATTGCTTAAAAAAATAAATAAAAGGTTGAAACTCCATTTGCCCATAACCCCATCCTTGGCAGGGCTGCCGGGCCTGGCTCCCCGCCTGGGGCTGCTGAGCTGGGGCCTAGCGGTCCTGCCAGGTGGGGGCCAAGGGGTCCTGATGGGTTCTATCAGGCGGGCTGGCCTTCCCTGGCACATCCATCACTACAGGAACACATCTCACAACCAAATAAAGTTTGCATCAGTCAGAAGGTTTTGCTGCCTGCCGCCTTTGAGCAAAATGAAGAGCTGTCTCTGAGCGTTTAGTCACATCGATCTTTGGAGCTCAGTCACCTTATCTGTAAAACGAGGACAACTTCCATTCACCTTCCAGCTCCAAAGCTAAGACTTCGGGAATCTGGCCAAAAGGTGGCACCTGGAGCTCAGCCCTTGGGAACTCCGGGTTCTGTCCCATCCTCCCACCTAGAAGGCCCTGAGGAATCTTCCTTGTTGTCCTTGGCCTCTCTTCCCCTGCATCATCTTGGAGGCCCGCTCCAGGCCCCACCTGCAGCCTGCCTTGGCTGGCCTTAGGCGTGGCTGGCAGGGGGATGGAGAGCCTCGGGTCACATGAGGAGTTGCTGGGCCACACCTGGGGCTGTGGCGTAGCCACGCCTTGCCAGCCCATTCCACCGGGGGACAGCTCAGGATTGTGGGGAGTTTTTCTTCTGGGGGACCCAGGTCTGTTTCCCTGTAAATTCCACCTCCTGGCACTAGTTTCTGCCCTTTGGAGCGCTGCGTGTTACCCTTTTTCTATCTGGCAGGCCTTCAAAGTTTGGGATCATAAGAGCATAGATGTAGTTCCGGAAGCCATCCAAGCCAAGCCCCTCATTTTACAAAGCAGGAAACTGAGGCCCAGGGAGGTAGAAGTGATTTCTGCACAGCCACACAGCTCGGGAGGGTGAGAGGTCCTCTGGCTTCAGTTGGTCCTCCTCCCTGGCTCGGGTCCTTGGCTCTTCCCCACGTGGCCTGCCTTCGAGGCAGGCCGTCCGTCATCCCGATGGCCTTCGCTCTGGACTGCTTGGGCTTGGCCCTCTTGAACTGTGGCCCTTGGAACAGAACACAGGATGGCAGCTGTGCCCCAGGCCGCGCAGAGGCAGGGTCCTGGCCTTGGCTTTTGGATTCTTCTGCATCTGTCTTCCTTCAGTCTCAGCATCCTGTTCATGGTCACCCCTTTACACTCTTCACTAACGGCCTAAGCTTGTGGTCCTCTGAACCTCAGCATTCTCCTTGGAACTGCCTTTGTGTGTGTGTATAGATGTGTGTGCATCCATGTGTGCATGTGTTGTGCCCTGTGTGGATGCAGATGGATGTGTGTGCAGTGCATTGTGCGCACGTGTACACGTGTGCGCCTTTGTGCCCCATGTGTGCATGCATGTGCCCTGTGTGGGGGCATGTGTGTGCGCAGTGCATTGTGCACGTGTGCACACACATGTGCCTTCGTGGCACATGTGTGCATGCATGTGCCCCGTGTGGATGCATATGGATGCGTGCGGTGCATTGTGCACGTGTGCACACGTGTGCGCCTTTGCGGCGCATGTGTGCATGCATGTGCCCCGTGTGGGTGCATGCGTGTGTGCAGTGCATTGTGCCTGTGTGTACACGTATGTGCCTGTGTGCCCCATGTGTGCATGCATGTGCCCTGTGTGGGTGCATGTGTGTGTGTGCAGTGCATTGTGCACATGTGTGCATGTGTTGTGCCTTGTGTGGGTGTGCGCACACCATCTATTCATGTGTACGTTCAGGCACATACCCTGTGCATGTATGCGTATGTGGGCACACTGTGTGTGCACCACATGTGAGTGTGTGTCTTCTGCCCTGTACTTGAGCGTTGGGGTCTACATTTTTATTTTTCTCTCTCCAGCCCACTCTAGCCTACTGCTCCCCCTGTCATGCTTTAGCTTTAAAAGGCCTAGGTCCCCCAGTACATCCTGGGCCACCTCCAGTCATACTGATGGCCACCGGACCCAGATGGCTTCGGAGGAGAAAGTGAG